GAAGAAGAGAGGGACGGGTTAAGGTCAGAACCTCCTCCGCGGCCGGTCGGTCGATGATGGTTCAAGGAAACGTCCATAACCCACACTGAAGGCTGGGCAAGCAGATAAGAGGTTGACAGTTCTACGGGAGGGGACCATGGCACGGGCGGCAAGCTAGGATAGGCAGCAAGCCCCAAGATCTGCCAGCCCCAGGATCTGCATATTCCTCTATGGGGCCGTGAACGGGATTTATCCCCTGCCGGCTGACGGTGCCTACCAATGTCAGTAATCTATTACTCTGTGGCGTCAGTTGCCAACCCAGTACACCAATGCACCAAGGGTGACGGTTCGACCCGTGCCGCCGCGGTGTCACATGTGCCGCCGCGGCGTCACTCATGAGGTCGTTCCCGCTCCCCGCCCTGAAGCCGAGCTCTCCAAGGACGGGTATGTAAAACCCTCCCAGCCACCTCCGTCTGCCACTTTGGGCGCAGGTGTGTGGCTGGGCCTACTCCCTCTCCTCCTCCTCACCCCCCCCCCGCCTTTCTTGAAGGATGGGTACAGCCGCCGTCCAATCTACACGTCCGGAGCAGCGGCCCTCGCCGATGGCTGTCGAGGGGTCGCCTTGGATCGTCACCCCCTGTCGCTTTCCTTCGGCTTCAGGTCCCCCGGTCAGGCCGCTTTCCTCTTTCAGGTTTCCCGTTTCAGGTGCCCCTGTCAGGACTTTTGGCCGCAGATCCGAGGTTCGAGGCGTCCACTTCTTGCTGTGTCTTTTTCGTCGTGTGCCCCCAGGGTGCGTGGTCGCGTGTGTGCGTGTGCGTGTGTGTGCGTGTGTGTGTTTGTGTTTGTTTGTGTTTTGTGTGTCGTGTGTGTGTCGTGGGTTACGGGTGTATGCCCCTGCGGGTACTCCACCCCATGGGAGAAAACCAATAAGTGCCTTTGGGTGTACCGATCCATCCATGTTTTTTGGGTGTACCGGCCTATCCGCTGTCGGATCTCCGTGCTGTTGGGTGTACCGGTCCCTCCGTGCTGGCGGAGAAAATAAATCGCGCCCGCGGGGGGGGGTACAGGTCGTGGTCTGGCCTGTGACCCTTGTTGGCCTCCGGGGGCCTCCTCTGGTCACTGGGCTTCGGCCGGGTTGACGTCACCACGTGTCGTTTTCGCACTCCAGGTGGTGCATCCCTGCCGCTGCACGCTCCCAGGGTGCCATGATGCAGCTTCGCTGCCAGCTACCTTGTGATACGAAATCTGTGTATTTCGTATCTTCCGGGTCCGGGGGCCGACCCCCCCCGAGGCGTGCACATTTGTCCTCGTCTCTGCCTCGCTCTCTCTCTCTCTCTCTTCTCTCCCTCTCTCTCTCTCTTTCTGCCTCTGTTTTTTGAACGGGGCTCCTTTGGAACATAGGCGGGGGACAGACGTTGTTTTTAAGTCCCCTTTTCAAGTATTCCCCCGAGGACGTTGCTGCCGGACATCCGCTTCGAATTTCTGCCCTCTTCCCCCACCCACACCCCGGTGAGGACCATCATAGGCCTCACCAGTGAGGACCATCATAGGCCTCACACCCCTTGCGGCTGCCATCATAGGGGCCGCGGGGGTCGCCCTCTCCCACCAATACACCAATACACCAATACTTCACGGCGTCAATAGCCAATGGAGGGGGCCGAGGACCTCCCTGCAGCCCCATCGGCCAACGAAGACGGCTGCAGGGAGGGGTCCAAACGTACCTCCACCTTCATGCACCAATCCACCAACACACCAGTAAACCAACTCCTCATATTCCTCCATGGGGCCGTGAACGGGATTTACCCCCTGCCGGCTGACGGTGCCTGTCAATGTCAGTATTCTATTACTCTGTGGCGTCAGTTGCCAACCCAGTACACCAATGCACCAAGGGTGACGGTTCGACCCGTGCCGCCGCGGTGTCACATGTGCCGCCGCGGCGTCACTCATGAGGTCGTTCCCGCTCCCCGCCCTGAAGCCGAGCTCTCCAAGGACGGGTATGTAAAACCCTCCCAGCCACCTCCGTCTGCCACTTGGGGCGCAGGTGTGTGGCTGGGCCTACTCCCCCTCCTCCTCCTCACCCCCCCCCCGCCTTTCTTGAAGGATGGGTACAGCCGCCGTCCAATCTACACGTCCGGAGCAGCGGCCCTCGCCGAGAGCTGTCGAGGGGCCGCCTTGGATCGTCCCCCCCTGTCGCTTTCCTTCGGCTTCAGGTCCCCCGGTCAGGCCGCTTTCCTCTTTCAGGTTTCCCGTTTCAGGTGCCCCTGTCAGGACTTTTGGCCGCTGATCCAAGGTTCGAGGCGTCCACTTCTTGCTGTGTCTTTTTCGTCGTGTGCCCCCGGGGTGCGTGGTCGCGTGTGTGCGTGTGCGTGTGTGTGCGTGTGTGTGTGTGCGTCGTGTGTGTGTGTGTGTGTGTCGTGGGTTACAGGTGTATGCCCCTGCGGGTACTCCACCGCATGGGAGAAAGCCAATCAGTGCCTTTGGGTGTACCGATCCATCCATGTTTTTTGGGTGTACCGGCCTATCCGCTGTCGGATCTCCGTGCTGTTGGGTGTACCGGTCCCTCCGTGCTGGCGGAGAAAATAAACCGCGCCCGCGGGGGGGGGTACAGGTCGTGGATACCTATGGCCTGTGACCCTTGTTGGCTTCCGGGGGCCTCCTCTGGCCACTGGGCTTCGGCCGGGTTGACGTCACCACGTGTCGCTTTCGCACTCCAGGTGGTGCATCCCTGCCGCTGCACGCTCCCAGGGTGCCATGATGCAGCTTCGCTGCCAGCTACCTTGTGATACGAAATCTGTGTATTTCGTATCTTCCGGGTCCGGGGGCCGACCCCCCCCGAGGCGTGCACATTTGTCCTTGTCTCTGTCTCTCTTCTCTCCCTCTCTCTCTCTCTCTTTGTTTCTCTCTCTCTCTCTCTCTCTCTCTTATCTCCCTCTCTGTCTCTCTCTCTGCCTCTGCTTCTTGAACGGGGCTCCTCTGGATCATAGGCGGAGGACAGACGTTGTTTTTAAGTCCCCTTTTCAGGTATTCCCCCCAGGACGTTGCTGCCGGACATCCGCTTCGACTTTCTGCGCTCTTCCCCCACCCACACCCCGGTGAGGACCATCATAGGCCTCACCAGTGAGGACCATCATAGGCCTCACACCCCCTGCGGCTGCCATCATAGGGGCCGCGGGGGTCGCCCTCTCCCACCAATACACCAATACACCAATACTTCACGGCGTCAATAGCCAATGGAGGGGGCTGAGGACCTCCCTGCAGCCCCTCGGCCAACGAAGACGGCTGCAGGGAGGGGTCCAAACGTACCTCCACCTTCATGCACCAATCCACCAACACACCAGTAAACCAACTCCTCATATTCCTCCATGGGGCCGCGAACGGGATTTATCCCCTGCCAGCTGACGGTGCCTGTCAATGTCAGTAATCTATTACTCTGTGGCGTCAGTTGCCAACCCAGTACACCAATGCACCAAGGGTGACGGTTCGACCCGTGCCGCCGCGGTGTCACATGTGCCGCCGCGGCGTCACTCATGAGGTCGTTCCCGCTCCCCGCCCTGAAGCCGAGCTCTCCAAAGACGGGTGTGTAAAACCCTCCCAGCCACCTCCGTCTGCCACTTGGGGCGCAGGTGTGTGGCTGGGCCTACTCCCCCTCCTCCTCCTCACCGTACCCCCCCCCGCCTTTCTTGAAGGATGGGTACAGCCGCCGTCCAATCTACACGTCCGGAGCAGCGGCCCTCGCCGAGAGCTGTCCAGGGGCCGCCTTGGATCGTCCCCCCCTGTCGCTTTCCTTCGGCTTCAGGTCCCCCGGTCAGGCCGCTTTCCTCTTTCAGATTTCCCGTTTCAGGTGCCCCTGTCAGGACTTTTGGCCGCAGATCCGAGGTTCGAGGCGTCCACTTCTTGCTGTGTCTTTTTCGTCGTGTGCCCCCGGGGTGCGTGGTCGCGTGTGTGCGTGTGCGTGTGTGTGCGTGTGTGTGTGTGTGTGTGTGTCGTGTGTGTGTGTGTCGTGGGTTACGGGTGTATGCCCCTGCGGGTACTCCACCGCATGGGAGAAAGTCAATAAGTGCCTTTGGGTGTACCGATCCATCCATGTTTTTTGGGTGTACCGGCCTATCCGCTGTCGGATCTCCGTGCTGTTGGGTGTACCAGTCCCTCCGTGCTGGCGGAGAAAATAAACCGCGCCCGCGGGGGGGGGTACAGGTCGTGGATACCTCTGGCCTGTGACCCTTGTTGGCCTCCGGGGGCCTCCTCTGGTCACTGGGCTTCGGCCGGGTTGACGTCACCACGTGTCGCTTTCGCACTCCAGGTGGTGCATCCCTGCCGCTGCACGCTCCCAGGGTGCCATGATGCAGCTTCGCTGCCAGCTACCTTGTGATACGAAATCTGTGTATTTCGTATCTTCCGGGTCCGGGGGCCGACCCCCCCCGAGGCGTGCACATTTGTCCTCGTCTCTGTCTCGCTCTCTCTCTCTCTCTCTCTTTCTCTCTCTCTCTCTCTCTTCTCTCCCTCTCTCTCTCTGCCTCTGCTTCTTGAACGGGGCTCCTCTGGATCATAGGCGGAGGACAGACGTTGTTTTTAAGTCCCCTTTTCAGGTATTCCCCCCAGGACGTTGCTGCCGGACATCCGCTTCGACTTTCTGCACTCTTCCCCCACACCCGCCCCGGTGAGGACCATCATAGGCCTCACCAGTGAGGACCATCATAGGCCTCACACCCCCTGCGGCTGCCATCATAGGGGCCGCGGGGGTCGCCCTCTCCCACCAATACACCAATACACCAATACTTCACGGCGTCAATAGCCAATGGAGGGGGCCGAGGACCTCCCTGCAGCCCCTCGGCCAACGAAGACGGCTGCAGGGAGGGGTCCAAACGTACCTCCACCTTTATGCACCAATCTACCAACACACCAGTAAACCAACTCCTCATATTCCTCCTCCCCCCACTCCTCCCCCTCCCCCTCCTCCCCCCCCCTCCTCCCTCCACGCTTCCCCCTCCCCCTCACTGCCGCCCCCCCATCCTACTCACTGCTCAGCCCGCGCCCGTGCCGTTCAGCGCCGCGTTCGCGTCCACGGCCCGCTGCAGCGCCGCGGCGGCGCGCGGTCCGAAGGCCAGGCCCTTGTCGGGGTGCAGCAGGAGGAGCAGCCGGCGGAACTCCCGCCTGCGTTCTGGGCAAGAGCCACCCCCATTACGTCGGGCTTCTCCCCCTACAAGTGGATTTGCACAACACATGAAAAATACCCCACAAGTATGTAAAACATATTCAAACATGGTCAAAACATTGCCCCCAGACCATGTTTTTACTATTTTCGAATATTCCTCCTGTAGAGGGGCACGCCCGACTTAAGACTACCACGAAGCAAGGACCGACCGTTCCAGCATTCCTGGAGGCCTACCATGACATGTTCTTCGAACCCAACAATGTTCTAAGAACACAAACGGTGCTCTTAGAGCATAAACCCGATGAGTTAAAACAATGCAGTAGTTAAAACAATGCAGTTGCAGCCAGAACTGTTCCAGGAACATTTCGTGCAAACCACAAAAAAAATCCGAACATTCTGTGGTGTGCCTATAGGCAAGCCGGGACGCTTCGCCACTGCTTGATACCAGCAAAATTCCATAGAATTCCCTTACCAAAGGCCACCCCCCGAGCTGGTGGCACTCCGCTCCGGGCACCTTCTGGGGGCGCGCCCGGAACGGGGTGCCATCAGTTCGGGGTGGGGAGCGGCCAGCCCGCCTAGCTGGTGGTGGTGGTTCTTCCTTCTCTGGTAAAGGATCAGAAACCGATTCGAATCCGGCTGGCCGCAGCCGACGTCACATCGCATCGACCAGATCGGGATGGACCCTTGTCTTCGGGGGGCAGCAGGCGCCAGAAGACAGTAGGAGACAGGAGGGCGGAAACAAGGGGTTGCGAAAGGTGACCCTGGCCGCCCCGCCTCGGCACAAGCTTGAAGTTTCTCGAAACACTTGGTGTGCCATCGAGGGCATTTCGAGGAAGCGCCCTCGCGACCCCCTGCCCTGGCCCGAGGTGCCCCTGGCATTCGCTCCAATTTGGAGCCCCTGGGGCCCTCGGGGCCACGTCGGGGGTGCTGTGGAAGCCGGTCGGATCTGGGAATAGGATCGGCTTGACACGTGCATCGGATCGGTCTCCACCATCACGGGGCCAGAATCCAATCGGGTCAGCTTCGCCAGAATGCATAACAACGCTATGCAAATATCTGGCCGTATCGGATCGTCGGACAATTCTGAAGTCAATCGGATTGAACCGGCCGAAACCGATATCGAATCGGATGGACATGAACCCTGAGTGGAGGGGGTCCAGGATGGCGGGGAGAAGGAGGAGCGGGAGAAGGGGAGGGGGAGGAAAAGAAAGAGCGGGAGATGAGGGAGGATAAAAAGGGGAAGAGGGGAGGCGTGGGAGGTCGAAGAGGGCGAGGAAGAGAGGCGAGGGACGATGAGGTTCATGGGGTGAGGAAAGATGGGCGACGGCGGCACGGAAGGAAAAGCAGGAAGGGTGGCGGCGCTGCGGCACTGCGGAAGCTGGCACACAACACGAATGCGGAAGAGCATCGCAATGAAGAGGGGCAAGAGAGACGGGGAGGAGGAAGGCCGTGATCCAGGAACGTGTTTGAACAAAGCAGGAAAGGGTGCCCCCCTCCTCCTCCTCCCCCTCCCCCCCCCCCTCCTCCTCCTCCTCCTCCTCCTCCTCCTCCTCCTCCTCCTCCTCGCTGCGCCCACTGAGTGTGAAAGGCATCGGCCGCCCGCACGCACCGAGCCTTCGCTGGTGTAGGCTGCCTCCGCCCAGCACGGCGCCCAGGTCTGGGCAAACGAGGATGCGCTCCACCTCGAAGGCCGCCTCTGCCTGACTGCCTGAGAGGAGGAGGCAGAGAGGACAGAAAGGGAGACCGATTCCCCCTGAAACCCCCGAGAGGCCCCGTGGAGATCTAAACGGCTACCTGGATTCCCCCTCCAGAAGCCTCCAGGGGCACGGTAGCAGGATGGGCGGCAGGCCACTATTGAAGGGGCCCTGGGACACACGAGCAAATAGACACGCCTCACAGGATTCCCCATCGTTTCCCATATGTTCGGGGCTTTTGTCTTCCCCCCCCCCACTTCCCATATGTTCCCCTATTTTCTGGGGAGTCGACGAGAACCTGTGTCTGTGTGTCTGTGTTCCCTCCTGAAGCCATGTACCCTCAATGACCGCACGATCGAGCCTGCTGGGCGGCACGCTGGACCTTCGTGCTGGCTTAGACGTGAAGCCCGAACCGCACAGCCCCTTTGGGCGTGAGCGAATTTAGCAACACAGGAGCGAGAGAAAGAGGGGAGCAGGACGACGACAAGGAGACAAGGCGAACCATGACGAGAGCGAGGACGGAACGGAGGAGGAGTGGAGGAGAAGGCTGATGATGACACTTAGAAAATGCACGCTGGGGAGCGAAAAGGAAACTAACCGGGGTGAGGAGGGCAACGATGCCAAGAACGTTTCTGGCCGACGAAAATCGGGAGGAAAACGGAAACAAAGATAAATAATACAGCTACTGAGGTGAAGGAACAACTTCCATCATCCTTTTGGGCTACAGATGGCCGGTTGGTCTGCACCAAACTCCACTCTGCAATGAACACCATGGGAGGGAGCTGCCCTTCTCTCCCCTCGAAGACAAGTTGGCCCACGAAGCCCTGGAGATGCCACCAAGACGGGCCGAAGGGCCTCCAAGTGGCCCCGCGGGCTCCAGACGACCCACAACCCCCGAGACCGCCCACGAGTCCCCGAGGCGCGTCGACAGGTTCCGTTCACATCGTGGACGCCCCGTGGACGCCTCAATCTGGCCTGAATGGGGGGGGAACCACCAAGACAGCCATAAAAAACAGAACGCCAAGAGCCATCGAATAAACCACCCATCGCCGATCGATGCCGGCCCCAGCCCAAACCCGCAGAAACAAAAAAAAAACGCACTTCCAAAGGACGCCCCAACAAAGGCCATGTGCGTTTCTGAACCACGCCCGCCAAAAACAAAGGCCATGCGTTTCTGGACCACGCCCGCAAGAACCTGGCGAGAGATCCGTTCACCCGACGCGTCTTGACTCAAGCGTGTTCAACAAGCGGGGGGGCGGCGGCGATTCGTCGCAAATGTTTTCGATGAGAATATGCCGAATGGGCGGGCCCACAATCGAACTATGGCCATACATCATCATCTCGCGAACGACCGGTCTTCCGCGGAATTGACGGTCTGCGTGCGCGCCATCTGTGGACAGACAAACCAGGCTGGAAAAGAGTACCAACAACACAACGTTTGAATTCGTTGGAAGCAGGTTGGAACCCCGCCCGCTTCGTGAACACGAGGGATAAAGGAAGACCAGTGGACCCTTGAAGTAGGAAAGCGTTTGCATTGTAAGACGTGACGCAAGCGAGGATGAAGTCGGGTGAGGGTAAACGACAATCTGTCAGGTCCACCGGCCCTGGAGGATGTATCGGGCGCCGCGGCCTTGTCAGAGCGTTCCGGGATGCTCTGACAGCGTCCCAGAACGGACTTATCCTCGTCGGAACCCCGCCCGACAAAAAAATCCGGGACGCTTCGAAAGCGTCCCGGAACAGACTGATCCTCCTCACCCCGCCCCACTGTAGATAGGTCGGTCGTTGGTGGGACTGGGCTTAATGGGACCTGGTTAAGTAACATGTACCTGGGACGATCCCTCCCCTCCACGAACCGGAACTGCCATCGCCCGACGAAACACCAGCTACGGCACTTCTAGCAAATTACCTAGTTCGGTTTGCTTCGGTACCCAATCGATAATGTCAGCTTGTGCTTAACAAAAACACCGTGGGCGCGTGATTAAACAAATGTTCCTCTGCTCGGGCGAATCGTAAGAGGGAGCGCCCGCCAAATTGAAAGACACGGCGGCGGCGCCGGTGATCAGCGCCGACGCCCAGCCGACTGCAGGAGGGCGACAGGCTCGACGCAAACGGCGCTTCTTCAGAGGAGGGGGGCAGAAGCGCCCCCAATCTATAGCGTGGCGGTCAGACCACAATCGCAACACACAAGAGGAAAAGAGGAGGCGAAGGAAAGAGGCGCCTCGGCTGGCGGGCGGTGCCGACATGACTACACAAGCAAACAAACAAAACAAACAGAGGAGCGGACGATCAGGCGGAAGGGGCTCCTCCTTCCCCCCCCTTTTCCATTACAACTTCCTACGACGAAGACGACGACGACAACGACGACGACGATGAAAACGGCGACGGCGACGGCGACGGCGACGGCGTCGGCGACGACGACGCACCGCGGATGCTCCATGGAGGGGGGTCGGGGATGCTGCGCATGCACGCTGTAGTCGTCAACGACGACGACAAAGACGACGACAACGACGACAACGACGACGAAGGCGGCGGCGACGACGACGATGAAAACGACGACGATGGCGATGGCGACGCTCCGCGGACGACGATGACGACGACGACGACGATGACAACGACGACGACGGCAACGACACCCGACGACAACAAGGACGAGGACGAGAATGAGGACGAGGACGAGGACGACGACGACGGCGACGAAACACTGCGGATTTACCATGGGGGCGGGGGGGGGGTGCCACGTTGGCCCGCTGTACCCTTGTAGTCCACAAAAGGTGGACGCCGACCGTCGACGACGACGACGACCGTTGCACGTCAGTTACCAGCTTCAAAAAGGGGAAAACAATCGCCTCGGATGTACACGATCCCTATATATAAACTATGATACGACGACGGCGACGATACGACGACGACGACGACGCCGACGCTGACGGCGACGACGAACACGACGGACGACGACCGCGACGGCGACGACGACGGCAACTATGACAGACGACGACGGCAACGACGACGGCGACGACGACGACGACAGACGACGACGGTGGCGACGTGGACGAAGTGGGGATGCTCTATGGGGGCTTGGGGGGGTGCTGCGTAGGCCCGCTGTTGTCGGCGACGATGACGAAGACAACGATGGCGACGACGACGACGACGGCGACGACGACAACGACAAGGACGAGGACGACGACGACGAGGACGACGACGAGGACGACGACGAGGACAAGGACGAGGACGAGGACGACGACTGACGACGACGGCGGGAGCCGCACTGCGGATGCCTTATGGGGGAGTGGGTCCTGCTCAGGCCCGCTGGACGAAGACGAGGACGACGACGTGGACGACGACGACGTCAACAACGCGACGACGATGGCGGCGACGATGACGCACTGAGGATCTCGTCTGGGGGAGGGTGCGGGGGGTGCTGCGTAGGCCCCAGCCCGCTGTAGTCGACGACGACGGCGGCGACGAAGACGATGATGATGATGATGACGATGATGATGATAATGATGATGATGATGATGATGATGATGATGATGATGATGATGATGATGATGATGATGATGATAAGGATGATGAGGATGATGAGGATGATGCTGATAGTGATGACGCCGACGCCGACGACGACTGTGGAACATCAGTCATCAGCCAGAGAGGGGAGAAACATTCGCCTCGGACGTAAACGATCCCTATGGCAGCTCCTACGCGACGGGGGATGGTTCTGCGGCTGCGGCGCAGGGGCGTACACGATCCCCTCGACGGCGCCCGCGGCGACCCCCTCGCGCGCGCGATTCACACATTGCTTCGCGCCCCGTGGGGGCTGTTCATCAGCCTCGGGGGGTGGGGTGGCCTGATCTGTGAATCGCAAGCTGACAGTCGCCGGCGCCCCCTACTGGGGGGGCCCGGGCATATCCAACTCGAGTCTGTGAGTCCGCACATGCCCACTGCCACCGACCAATGGGTACACATATTTTTTGGTCCGCGGGGCGAGAGCGAGCCTCTTCCGGTAAAAGCTAGGTGGGCTACGCGCAGCTCTAATTGGGGAGACGGGGCACAGGCGGGCGGGGCCTCAGGCGGCCGGAGAGGGCGGGGCCCGAGGTGCAGGCGACCGATGGGTACACATATAGCTCTTGCAATCTGAGACGACGGCGGCTCAAACATGGGCCCTCGAGGCCTCAGAGCACCAGTGCTCCGAGCCGCGTGTGGCGACGGCCCCCGGCCCCCGAAGTCGAACGGCCGCAGCCTCAACCCGCACTCCTCTCGACTACACGCAAGATCGAACCTGGCTAATTAAGCGTGCCCTTTGGGGTGCGCGGCGTTGGAGGGGCGCGGGTAGGCCAAACCCAGGCGCGCAGGCCCGTGCCTGGGGGGACCCCTCTGGGCCCGCACCAAGGGGTCGCTCCGGCGAGGGGCCGCTCCTGCGTGCACCCGACTCTCTGATTGCATCTGCCTGCCGGCCTGCATACTCGCCGGCGCCGTCCTCGGCCTCGGCCGACGCGGCCGCCAGCAGGCGGCGGAGCTCGGGCGAGGGCCCGTGGGTCTCCCAGGGCGGCGCGGACGGGGCGCGGTCCAGCAGGGCGGCGCCCTCTCTGCCGCCGGAGGGCGGGGGTGAAGAGGCGGAACGCCAGGGGGGGGGCAGCAGGGGGGGGGCGGGAGGGAGTGGGGGAGGGGGAGGGGGAAGAAGGGAGGCAGGAGGAATGCTCTCGGAGTAGAGGGTGGATGGGGGGAGGGAGGGAGGAGGGGGGGGAAGGGAGGGAGGAGGGAGGGGGAGGAGGGTGGCGGCAGCAGGGGGGAGGGACGTTTTCGTAGATCCTCGCCGGCGATCCATCCTCGGGAAGCCCTCCATAGCTGCGCCTCGCCGGGAGCGCCTGCGCTCCGCGGGTGCCTGGATCGTCCCGAACGGCGGCAAGAGGTCAGAAGAATGATACGAAAAGAGGCTCCGGTCCACCCGAAGAGGGAGGGAGGGAGGGAGGGAAGGGAGGAGCCGTCCTCTCTCGCGGGACTCCGATGGGGGGGTCCGACATTGCTTCGAGGGCAACCATCTTGAATGTATTTGCACTGGGGCGTTGTTTTTTGGGGGTGCGAAAAAATTGGGGGGCGAGAAACGTGGAACCGTCGTGCCTCTCTTGGGTCCCCAGCGGGCCCCATTTAGGGCACCAGAATTGCACCTGTCTCCCCCCACCCCTCCCCCAGTTCTACTGCCCCCCATTACGCGGCGCCCGATACGTGCGGCCCAGATGCATTCCAGAGGAATGCCAGTCCGCCACCTGGCCATCGCTGGGCCGTCCACTCCCATTGCATTCTTCAGATTCGTGCGTGTTGTTTTACTCGATGATCCAGGATGCTCCTACGTCCGAGAGATGCCAAGCCCCTGTAGCGCGCAAGAAGTGCACCTTTCTGTCCCCCCTACCTTGAACGCCCCCCATTACGCAACGCCCGATGCACGCGGCCCAGACGCATTCCAAAGGAATGCCAATCCGCCACCTTACCATCGCTCGGTCGTCTATTTGTCGTGCATGCTTCGGTTACGTGCATATTTTTCTCGAGGCTCCCAGATGCTCCTTCAGGGTCCTCGCCGAGAAACTTGATTTCTGTCGATGCGTAGGCCCCAGGTCTAGACCACTTCCCTAAGGCTAGTTTTTTGTCCTGCGTTGTTGTTTGACGGTCCTGAGGCCCGGCGAGGGCCCCCGCAAGCCGATTACGGCCAAAAAACCGCCGCTCCACTTTATGCTGGAGCGTCGGATCTCTGGGAATGTACACGTCCCAGTGATGCCAAGCCACTGTGCCTGCACGGTGTGGGCGCGTCAGGCTGCCAGGTGCTGTTCTGTGGGGCCTTTCTTGTGCTCGCAGAAGGGACCCGCCTCGCCGCGCCCAGATTGCATGCTCCCCCTGATCTTAAGGCCACGATCCCTTCTGAAGACACTACGGTAGGAGCTCGACCACAAGAAACTTTCCGCGAGAAACCCAAGCCTGGAACCGCCGGACGTCCATTCATTTTTGGTGTGGGAACGTAGCGCTCTCCATGGCAAGACCACCGAAACCCAAGAAACCCAGGGCACCCTGGAGGAGCGCAGCGTCTTTCTTGACATGGGTTTCCACTGCACAGCCGAAGCGCTGGCATAAGGAATTACAAGTAAGGAGCGGGGCCCCCCTTCTCCACGAGTCAAACCTCGATTTCCCATGAGAAACCTAAGGAGCACCCAAGACACCCTGTACAGTCATCGGCCTGAACTAAGGAACGATACATAAGGAACGAAGTCCCTTTTTTATCCCAAGGAATAACGCATGAGGAACGATAAATAAGAAATAACGCATAAGGAACTGTAAACAACAGATGTAAAGTCTAAGGAACGACCGAGCCCCTTTTGATAAGTACGTGTTCCTTACTCAAGCCGCTCACTGGAGAACAATGTGCGAGCACTGAGCCCGTCCCTCACGGAACGGGCTCCGTCTGCAGCGGCCCGACGGCGCGAGGCCGCGTTCCCGCGGCCACGACCCCTCGTGCGAGACAGCGTGCCCTCGCCCCGAGCTCCCGCGACGGCTCGGGCAGGCAAAGCCAAGGCAACCAAAATGGCCCGAGACGGGCCTAAATTTGGGACGCCCGAAATGGGTACGGAAAAGATGGGTACAATGCCCAACAACAAATGTTGTCCCAAACCAACAGCGGCCGCTGTTGGGCAGGCGGCCTTCTGTCTCGAATGGAGACAGGCCGCGGCGGCGCGGACAGCGAGTCCTGTTCAAGATGAACAGGAACTGCTGTTGGGCATTGCACCCCATTCTTTCCGTACCCATCTCGCTCGTGCAGAAAAATTGCCCCAGGGCGGCCGACTATGGGCCCCAAAAGGGACCTCCAACAAGGCCCAAAGACACCCAGATTCGTGGATGCTCCTTGGATGTCGGAAAGTTGTTTGCGTTCCCGCCTTTTCGGGCTTCTGTCAGCTCGAGACGGCGCAAGACGCCTCCAAAAAAGCACCCAAGAAGGCCCCAAGACGGCCCCAAGAAGGCCCCGAAACGGTATCCTAAGGCATTTCGACTGTCCCAGACAACGCCAAGGCGGTACCACGACGGCCCCCAGGCACACACCAATATGCCAATGGGCCCCACGACGGCCCAACATGGCCACGAGACGGCCGAAGAGGGCCCCAAGGGACACGCAAAGAATATCTCACTGGAGGCTCAGGCAGCCAAAAGACGGCAAAAAACGAGCTCCATGAACACTCGTCGGATAGTGAAAACAAAAGGTGTCACGAAAAAAAAAGCCTTCCGCTTCCTCATCCTCCTCCTCCTCCTGCTTCTGCTCCTCCGATCCTCCCCCCTATCTGAACATCCGCTTCCAACTCCACCTCCACCTCCTCCTCCTCCTCCTCCTCCTCCTCGTTTTCATCCTCCTCCTCCTCCTCCTCCTCCTCCTCCTCCTCCTCCTCCCGCTCCGCCTCGTCGGCATCATCATCATCAGCATCATCATCATCAGCAGCATCATCATCAAAATCAGCACCATGACTACCATTACCAGCATCATCATCATCAGCATCATCACCACCACCATCATCATCATCATCAGCAGCATAAACCCCATCAAATCAACATTAACCTCACCACCACAATCAGCATCTTCATCATGCTCAACATCGCCACAATTCTCATCGTCTGCCTCCTCCTCCTGCTCCTCCTCCGCATCATCATCATCAGCATCATCATCAGCAGCAACATGATCATCAGCAGTAGCATCATCATAATAATCGTAGTCAGCGCCATCGTCATCAGACTCGTCATCATCGACACTATCAACGTCATCATCATCATATCACTACCATCATCAGCACCACCATCATCATTATCATCATCAACATCAGCATCGTCAGCAACATGAACATGTTTAGCATAGTCAGCATCGTCAGCATCGACATAACCATCATCAGCATTCGCATCGCCATCATCATGGTAATCAGCATCGGCGGCATCACGAGAATCGTCCTCCTCCTCCTCCTCACCATCATCAGCATCAACGATATCATAAATGAACATCGACTGCATCATCATCGTCATCAGTACCAGCATCAGTATTACCATCATCATCAGCAACACCAATAGCATCGTCATCATGATCAACAGCATCTTCATCATCAGCATCATCATCATAATCAACATCATCATCGTCATCCTCATCATCAACATCGTCGCCATCCTCATCACCGTAATCATCGTCAGATCCACCATCAGCATCAAATTGATCATCAGCATGACCAACATCATCAACATCGTCGTCGTCGCCATTGTCATCGTCATCGCTACCGTCATCATCAACATCATCACGGATCTTCCAAGCCTGGAGACACACTGACATGTCACACGTGACGGCCTGCCATGCCCCCATTGAACAACCGCCACCCGAACTGCTGGGCTTTCACGGTGGCGGGGCTAACCGCAATTAACTTGATCATTCCCAAGGCCCTGACCCCAGGCCGCCTGGGACATATAGAAGGGGGGATGGAGGAGGAAGGGAGAGAAGGCGAGAGGCGGAAACGAGGAATGGAGGGAGGAGAAGAACAACCAGAAAAAAAACAACTCACAAATAGATCAACAATGCTGCGGCACACCCTTCCGTCACAAGTTCCCACCCTCACGGGTCTCTACAGGCGGTGCTCTCTGCGGGAACTGCACCCTTGAGGAGGAAGAACGTTCATGGGCCTACCATTCAGGCGAGTCCCGCTGCGAACAGGAACTGCCCTGCGACACCTGCTGACGGAGTCTCGACAGAGACCCCTGTCCTGGCAGGGAGTCTGCTCTGAGATCTGAAGCTGCCGCGCAGTGGCACACTCGATGTCGTCGTCAAATTGGACAGGCTCAATCCAAACCAGCTGTCTGAGAGTGAGCCACCCTCCGTGCTTGTAACTCGTGGAAGCGCTGGCGGCGAACACATAAGCGCGGCGCCACGGCCCGAGCCGCTCCCTGAGAACGACTCCTCGTCCATTGTTGTAGCTGTTGGCAGATTTCCAGACGGATGTCCGCGGCACTGCGGCGAACGGTGCGCATGGTGAGAACGATGCGCCCTCCCGCTGTGGGAAGCGTTGGGAACCCGCGCGCGCGGCGCCGAATCGAGGACCACACGTTGGCTACCAGCCCGTCGTCCAGAACTGTCTCGCCGAGCTGTCGATACGAGCACGCGCGGCACGACGACGAGAACCGCGATGGGAGAATGGACCGCCCTCCGTCCGTCAGGCTTCCGTCGAGCTTCGGGAACAGTGTGCCAGGCGAAGCACCGAGCCTGCCCTACGGACACGTCTGGCGGTTCGACGAGGGTGATACATATATATATATATATACATACATACATACATACATGGATACATATATATATGCATACGCGAGAGGGGCGGAGAAGAAGGGTAGAGAGAGAATGCGGGGGGCATAGAATAGGATGGGGTGCCGGGAGGAGGAGGAAGGGAGGAGGAGGATGGGGAGGTGGGTAGGGAACGAGGCCGAGTCCCACGGAGGAGTGAGGAGCTGCGGCGAAGGGGAGGCAGGATGCGGTGGAGCAGACACGAGGCGGACGAGCAGACAGAGCAGGGGAAAAGCTGCAGAGGG